ATATTAATTACAACACTGCTTGGCCAATGACTCAGGTACCCCTTTTATCTAGTTCTTACATCTTGAATTAACCCATTTTTATTAATTTGTATATTGACACGAGGTCATGGCTTATTGGTAAAGGCCCAGCATCTGTCTCCTTCAGAAGTTACCTGGTATCTCCTGACTCGGCCTATTCTCTGTCTCTATTACTTCCAGCCTGGCTACATTCTGCCCTGTCATAGGCCAAAGCAGTTTCATTCATTTGCCAATAAAAGCAACACATATACAGAAGGACATCCCACATCAGAGAAACTCAAAGCAATCTCACTGAAATTAGGATCAAGACATGGCTTCAATATAGCACTTGAAGTTCTAGCTAGAGCAGAGACAGCAAAGGGAAATCAAAGGGATACAAATTGGACAGAACTAGAAAAGACCATATGGAGTGAGGTAACCCAGTCACAGAAAGACAAATATAGAATTACTCACTAATAAATGGATATTAGACATAAGGCAAAGGATAACCAGCCTACAGCCCACAACCCCAGAGAACCTAGACAACAAAGAGGACCCTAAGAGAGACAAACATGGATCCCCCTAGGAAGGAGAAAAAGACAAGATCTCCTGAGTAAATTTGGGGCATGGGGAACAGGGGAGATAATGGAAGGGGAGGGGAGAGGAAGGGAGGGGAGTGGGAAAATTGTATAGCTCAATAAAAACAATAAAAAAAGGAAAAAAGTAATAAAGAAAGGTAAAAGCCCAGAGGCAAAAGGTAGGTGGATAATTTAAGTTAAGAAACACTGGCAAGAAACAAGCCAAGCTTAGGACAGGCGTTTATGTAATAAAAAGCCTCTGTGTATGATTTATTTGTGAGCTGGATGGTAGGCCCCCCAAGAGCAAAGAGGCAAAAAAGTAACCAAATCCAAAAACCAAACAAACAAGAGTCAAGCCATTGCTCATCGAGAGCTAGTTCATTCATTTATGCATTTCTACATCATCTGTTTTAGGGCGTATGGGAAATTGAAAACTCCCTGCCTATCGTTTATTTCTTCCATGAGAGGGCTGTAAGATTTGAGGAGTCAGGGCTCCACCTCCAGTCCATCTCATGTGGATACAGGACTCCTTTTCAGAGACACCACAACCAAGGCACGTCCTGTCTTCCTGTTTCCCGACTCCTCACGCCTTCCAATGTACCGATCAATGCACCTTGGAGGGCTCTCCAGGTGAGGTGGCCATTTGTTTTTCTTCTCATCCCCTTTGTGATGTAGGCTTACAAGGCTTAAGGGATCAGAATGACACTTCGACCTCCCACCATGCCAAATCGTGCCAGGTCTCCTGCCTCTTCCCTGGGCAGCATTTCTCTTGGCACAGCCTGAGGTCCTTCTCCATCCTCGCACTGCATTGTGGGGAGCTGAGGGAAGCTTTGTCCCCACATGGGTAGCAAGAAGAGTATTCATAAAAGAGGGCATGTCCACCTCCCTCTACCTTTCTTCAGCCTGCGAACACGCTTTCCTGCAGACAACCCTTAACGAGTGCTAAGAAGCAGCGGTGTCCTGATGCTGGCTCGGTATTCTCAGCTCAGAAACAGCACCACGGCTAAGAACATTTCTATTTGAAGAGGAGCATGTGGCAGCCACACGAATCTCTCAGAGCTGTTGGGAGCCTTCAGCCAAATGGGGTTTGTGTGCCATAGTCTGGAAGTGGTGGCTGCTGCATTGACTCTGGGGCCAGTGATGTCAGACTCCAATGTGGCTGTTGCTGTCCTTTGCCCTCTGCCCTTCCTCCCCAATCAGCACCGCAGCAGTTAGGCTTAAGGAAGAAGTAAGGTGGCTTAGCAGGGGGCCCCTCCTTTGCCTCTCTCATGAGGAGGCCCCATAAGGCTGCTCTTCTCAATTCTCCTGTCAGAGCAGGTCTGGACACCAGCAAAGGGAAGGTCCCATCTTCTTTGACATGATCTTTGTCCTACACTGAACATCGGGGCTCATTTAAGATGGTTTCAGCTGTATGCCCAACCTTCTTCCTTTAGGATTCGGAACTCTGAGTTCTGGCTTGAGGCCTGTCACAGTCTTTTTTACATGTGTGGTATACATTTGCCGTGGGTCACGGGAAAAGCAGCGGTATGAGCTTCCGGTGAAGGGTGTGTCACAGAAGCAAATGACTTTGCAAACAGGTAACGCAGAATGTTCTGCTTTATTTTCGTCTGTGCTCTTCTGTCTCAGAGAGGGATTGGCTAACTCCCTAGACATTTTCCAGGCTTGTGTTGATACTGTACAGATATGGATGCAGATATCAGCCCAGATACAGCCATAATGACAGTCCGTGGTTCCTGAGAATATCAGTTCAGCAATACAGGCCATCTGCCAGTGAAGATTCTGAAGATATCTGGTGAGTGCCCAGTGCTGGGACACACCAAGGGGCCTCTACTCTCTAACAGCAACTGTCGCTGGGGGATTTGGAGCTGGGTCCTCATCCCCAGCTTGGTCAGCAACCAGGTCTAGTTTCTATGTCCTTGACTTCTGGAAAGGCCTTGGGGCTTACTTAACATTCCTGCTTTGAGTCCCCTACTACCCGCACCACTAGACAGACCCTCTGAAAATTGACCACAGATGTTGTGACATTTTGTTCCTAAACACCTGGACTGGGCTCTTAAGAGCAAGAACAGAACCTTGCCAACAAATGCCCCCCAGGCCCCAAGCTGAGGTCCCACACATGTCCTGTATAAAACCTCTGTTTTCTTTTGTTCATGTGGACATGTGTGTGCTTGTACGTGCACATATGTGGAAGCTAGTGGTTGACAATGGTTGTCTTCCTCAATTTCTCTCCATTTCATTTGTTTGTTTTTTGATCTGGGATATCTCACTCAATATGGAGCTAGGCTGGCCAGCCAATGAGCTCTAGAGATCCACCTGCTTGAGACAGCTGAGCCCTGTGTTCAGTGCTGGGGGTATAGATGGTGCCTGGCACTCACAACGGTGCTGGGGATTGAACTCAGGTCTTCATGCTCACACAGCAGGCACTTCACCAACTCAGCCATCTCCCCAGCCCCTACAGCTATTTTCATTTGTTTTAGATCCCAGAACCCAGTCAAGGCTGCAGATTGCCTTTGGCTATTAGACACCTTTCGTCTTCCCCAGTGTCCTGTGCTCTCCAGCCCCCTCCACTCTTCCTGGTTCCAAATCTTCTGTTTTTAGGACATTTACATTCAGTGCGCGTGTCTTCATGACCAGTTAGGTTAAATATCCCTGGGGAGTCTAAGAATGGCCCCGGGGGATGCTGTTTGCTCATTAGGGTTGTGTAGTGTTAGGCTGTATCCCAGCACTGTGAATGCCAGAGTTTGTACCATGGTGAGGACGGTTTTCCTCTGTCCCAGAGAGCAGATCTAGAGGGAAGGAAACCACACCAGCACTTTCTCTGATTCCAAGGGAACCAAACTGAATCAGAATAGCCCCCACACAAACGGGGATTTATTGTCTCACGTAGCCAGCAAGTGATTTTTTTTCTAGATTTAATTTGCCGATGCTCGGGTTGGATATCATGTCATCACATACAGGTTTGGTAGCTTGTTTCTCAAAGTCAAAGATGATCTCAAACTGCTGATTCTCCTACCTCCTGTGTGCCCGGCGGAACCCTATGCCCTCCCCATTTCCTCAACCCTTTGCTATGTCCCCTTCTGCGGGATTTATTCACCAGAAACAATTTTAGCAGTAGGCTCACTGACCTTAGAGCCAACTGCACCCCAAAGGGAACACTCATCTTGAAGGACGGTTTTGTTTCCAAGGCCCAGGGATGACCCCATTGTTTCCTTCTGCCGCAGACTGTCAAGGCCTGAAGTGCTCACTCTTGAAGCTGGAGAGTTCGCTTCATATGTGGCCTCCTCCCTCTACCTTCCTTGAACTCTGCTTACAAGAAAGGACTACCTCAAAAGGCCTGCATCGAAGCAGTGTCCTGGGTTAGACACCTGTTGGTGGGGGACCTAGGGCCCAGGACCAGGGTGTGTGTGCTGCTTGCTCCTTCAGAGGCTGTGGAGTCATCAAGTTCCCGCCAATGGCACTTGGACACCGTTGCACTGGCAGGCAGGGGGTGGAGGTGGGTGTCAGATTGACCGTCCCTATCTTGCTGGTGTGTTTTTGCCCATCTTCTGAGACTTGCTGTACCCATCCATTCCCGGTGCAGACTCAGAGACTTGTGCACACTGTCTCTGTGGAGAAACTGAAGTACGCAGAGGAGAGCTAGCTGTCCTGAGGCCACACAGGCAGTTGGTGGTGAACGCAAAACCAAGTTGGCCCAGTCAAATCCATGCTCCGGGGGGCAGTATATTATTCTGAGTAACAAGCACTTCAGATTTCAAAGACTTTTTTAGCTCAGCCCCTGTTCTGCCACGACAGCCCAAAGCAGCCATTAGACAATATGTAAATGATTGCACATGGCTTCGCTCCAGAACTGTGGCAGTAACAGCTGGCTGTATGCAGCTCCCGGGCTGGGTCTGCCAGTCCTTGCCCTTAGCCAGTAGCCATAATAGTAGCGTGGGGCATGCTTCCCAGGATGCCCCAGTGACCTCTCTGTCCTCACCCAGGTAGGTGAGGAAGTCTGCACAGACAGCAATGAGCTGTAGAGGAGGCAGAGTTTCTAGAAGCCAAGTCAACTAGAAGACACTGTTCTCTCCTGAAGAGCTATGGCCTCCGGACTAGAGGCTCTAGAGGTGTGCTAACTCAAAGCTGTTTAGAAGTACTGCAAGTTGCATGCTGCTCTCTGGTGTGGGTAGCAATGGATGCTCCTTTACCTTGGCTGTGGGGTTAATGGCACCCCTCAGACATCCTCTCAGTGCTGGCATGATGGCCAAGGTGACAGTAAGACAGGCAGGTGACTACCCATACCCGACACAGGTTGGTCTCTCTAACTTAAGGTAACACTGAAAGCAAGTTAAGTGCTTTGAGAAGCCTGAAAAATGCAGCTTATCAAGAAGTGTTTTGTGGGGCTGGGGAGGTGGCTCAGCGGTTAAGAGCACTGACTGCGCTTCCAGAGGTCCTAAGTTCAATCCCAGCACCCACAAGGAGACTCACAACCATCTGCAGCTGTAGATGGGATCAGATGCCCTCTTCTGGTGTGCAGATGGATGCACATGCGGACAGAGCATCAATATATATAAAATAATAAATCTTACATTTAAAAAAAGTATTTTGCCAGAGGAACAGATGGAGAATAAATTTGAAGCATCTTGACAGCTCAGAAGGGAGGGTTAGGAGATGTGGATTTTCCTGTCTTTAAGACACTGCTCCACTTTAAAGCAAGAGAAACTCCAAGGGAGACACAGTGTAATATATAGTTAGTACACTCACTCGCACATACATGTGCACACACATACACACATGTACGCACACACGTGCATGCGCACATGCACACTCATACAGCACTGTGGTTGGTAATGCCTGAAAAGAGACAAATGCTGAGAGCGGCTGATGTAGCAGAAGCACTTGTGGTTGCTCTGTCTCCACCGTCTCATTTTAAATCAATTGTGCAATTACCAGTCTTAGCCGAGCCAGCCAGAACCACTTCCATGTTTCCAAGAGACCAACTTGCCCTCTCTCATCTTAAGGTCGTTTATCTTTTGAAACCTAAGGATAGCTTGAGCACTTTTTCATGTTTCAGGTTAGGTTGCCTAGGTCCCAAGAGACAGCCTCCTTCATCCTGGGCCTTGTGAGTGACATGTTCCACCTATGGGAATGTTGTGGTTGGCAGAGTACTGACCTGGAAAATGTGTCCCTGTCATAAACCCTGGGATATCAAAATGTGTTACTAGAAAAAGGGATTTCAGATATGATTAAGGCCAAGGGCCTCAAGATGAGGGGACATCCCTGGAGTCTGAATAGACCAGTCTAGTGGCATAAGTCCTCAGAACAGTGGAAGAGAAGGCAGGAGATGACCTGAGGGCTGAAGATAGCATCACATCGTGGTGGGAGGGGATATGGACTCACCCTTGACGGCCTTGATGACCAAACAGAGTGAGGAGTGGAGGCAGCCCTCAGCAGTTACAGTGGCCTTCAGGCAACAACCCTCACCTTGTAACAACCATATTTTCAGGGCACCATCTTTACTGTCTCCAGAAGCATCCTGGCCTTGCCAGCACCCTGCTCTGAGTCTTCTGAGGCCCACACTAGGTAACCGTGACAAAAAGCTGATACTGTTTCAATGGCAGTGGATCCCTTCCGTTTTCAGAACATTCTGGTTCACAGATGTCATAGAGAAGGTTCTAGAAGAGTTGCTCATGGAGCAGGATCGATGGTATAGAAACTCTTGGGAGAAGACAAATGAGTTACTAAGGAATTGGCATCTGCGAAAGCCCAGGGAACCCAGTGCAGGTGGAGCCCCTGGCCTGCAAGCAACGTGGAAGCTGCTGCGGAGCCCTTGGACACCCTGCTGGGCTGGTAGGTGGGCCTTGGTGGGCGGGACCAGGGACAGGCAGAGGACACCCAGGTGCAGAGCATGCTGGTCAGAAAAGTCCCTTCTCTATCATCTTGGGACAAGTTTGGAAGGGTAGGCTTACTTGTTCTTTAAACAAGAGCATTGAGAACTAGTGTGTACCAGACACTCACCTCTGGCGGGGGGGCGCAGCATCAGGCAAACTGCTCACCCAGCGCTTGCATTCTCCTCTGAGAGCGAAGTCATAAGCAAGAGAGCAAATTAACACAGTGATTGCTGCTAGTGTGTGTTACAAAGACAACTAAAGCTGCTTTTCATGATGGGTCAGCAACCAGGGTTAAAACCACGGTGGTTGGAGGAGTTGTGTTCTAGGTGAAAGGAGCAACTGATGCGGTATGAGCGGTGTGGTCATGGTGGGATTGGCGTGGCCATGGTGGGAGTGGCATGGTCATGGCAGTAGGTCAGAGTAGCATGGTCATGTGAGGGTGGCATGGTTATGGTGGTAGTGGTGTGGTCATGTCAGAGTAGTGTGGTCATGGTGGGAGTGGCATGGTTATGGTAGTAGTGACATGGTTATGGCAGTAGTGACATGGTTATGGCGATAGTGACATGGTCATGGTGGGAGTGACATGGTTATGGCAGTAGTGACATGGTTATGGCGGTAGTGACATGGTCATGGTGGGAGTGACATGGTTATGGTGGGAGTGACATGGTTATGGCAGTAGTGACATGGTTATGGCGGTAGTGACATGTTCATGGTGGGAGTGACATGGTTATGGCGGTAGTAGTGTGGTCATGTCAGAGTAGCATGCTCATGTCAAAGTAGCATGGTCACGTGGGGGTAGCATGGTCATGTGGGGGTGGTATGGTCATGGGGGTAGTGGTGTGGCCATGTCGGAGTGTTGTGGTCAAGGGAAAGTGTGCACAGAGCCTGTGGAAGAACAGGTGAAGGAAGAGTCTGGAATGCCTTGGGTCACATTGCAGAGGTGCTCAGGGACCAGATCAGGGAACTGAACAAACAGTGTGTGAGGGGGGTGTTGTTGGAAACGCATAATTAGTTAGACCTGGTGGTGACCTGCAGACAGGCATGTGAGGGCTGGGTGGGCTTCAGAACAACATCCATGTTCCTGCCGAATCGGCTGCTGGAGGGAGGGAAATAAGAGCCTGTCTTTCATGAGCTGAGACAGGGCCTGGCCTGGGAAAGACTGACATTTCCTGAAATACTGTTTGCTCAACTGGAAAATGTCAACACAGGCTTTCTCCGCATGCGAAGAAATTCAGTAATTAATGAGGACCCAGGGCAGGCAACCAGAACTCAGAACAAGGCTATCTCCATAGCATGTAGAGCTTGTTGTATTGAAGTCATTTTCTCACAACCAGGCCAGGAGAGTTTTCCTTTGCATGACAGGCAAGGAGACAAGCACAGAGAAATCAAGTGACTGGGGTAAGGTCACTGCTGGGGTCTCTGACATCCCAACTCCCGAGTGGCAGAGCAGCAATTGGGGCCCAAGTTGAGTACCAAGGCTGAGTTTGCAATTGACGTTCCAGACACTCTGTCTTTCTGAGATGGTGGATGCGTTTACATCTAACTACACAGCTGGATTAAACAGATGTTTACCACCTTTGCCCCAATTAAAGCTTTTATCCGAGCTCTTAGTTCATGCTAGACAGCAATTTTATTCTCCAGAGGACATTTTGCTTGTTACAGAGGGGACCAAATACCTGGCCACATAGAGACGGGAAGAGTCGTCTGTGGCTCTGGTTTGGGGGAGCTGCCACATGGTGACGAGAGCATGGGATGACTAGTCACGTTTATAAAGCCACAAGGTGACTGCAGTCAGGAAGCAGAGAATTACTAGCAAGTGGGGCTGGTGTCACCTCGTAAAGGCTCCTCAACCCTCCAGAAACGGGGGGCCACCATCTGGGGGCCAAGGGTTCAATCACAGGAGCCCGAGGGGAACAGCATCACCACATGGGGAAAAGGGGTTTCATCACATGAGCCCCAGGGGAACAGCATCACCACATGGGGTCAAGGGTTCAATCACACAAGGCTAAGGGCAACAGTTCACACCTAAACCACCCACCATGTGTTCCAGGGCTCCAATTCCCAAAGAACTTTTAGCCCAAGCCAGGGCTGTGAGCCCCTAGTGTCGGAGAATATAGCCCGGAGGACATACTTACACGTGTGAACGGTAACACACAGCAGTGTGAGGGTGACCGTGCACTGGTCTGTAGTGACAGAGTGCGGGGACCCTGGGAAGAGGCTAGGCCCCGCTTTCCAGTCATAGCTTCTGTTCTGAAGCATGGGAAACAGTATTCACTCTCTAGGGGTCAAGGAAGGGACGGTGAGCAGCAGGAACTGGGCAGGGGAGGGGAGGTCTCACGAGGACTGATCAGCCTTCAGGGGGTCACCAGGGCTGGAGGCCAGAAGACGGAGAACACCATGTGGGTGGAGCCCTGTGGATGGGGGAGGCACGTGTTCGAGGGCACCAAGGTGAGACTCTAGTGGTATGAGAGGCGTGGTTCTTACAGGCCTGGGCAGGGTGAACTGCGAGAGTACTCAAGGGCTAAGCTGTTTCCTCTTGATGGAAGTTCAGCGGGGTTAAGCCAGGTCCTAGAGGGCTTGTACAACAAGGCCTGAGTGTGGCGAGGAGTGGAATGCCAGCAGCGTCTCAAGGTGGCATTTTGTCCACGTTTGGGGGCCATTGCTCAGTTGTGCCTGAAGATGGCAACATGGACCCCCGTGGGTGAGAGGTTTAAGTGGTCGCTGCAGAAGTGGAGCAGGTGAGGTCAAGAGTCAATTATCCGAGTGACCACCTCACCACTACAGACTTGGAAGGGGAGACACTGGGAGGCCAGTGTCTAGTCCTCTGGGGCTGTCTCCTGCATGGACAGCCAGGGACAAGGTCAGTGGAGGCTGTAAACAGAAAACCTGGGACTAAGACCATTGTGAAAGGGTGAGGCCGATGGGGCTGTTGTGGATTAGAAGGCAGTGAAGGAACTAATTCAACAAGGGGGCATGGTGGTGCTCGATGATGCACACACAGCAAGTTGTCCTCCTCCTCTCCCTCCTCCTCTCCCTCCTCCTCTCCCCTTTTCTCTCCCCCTCCTCTTCCTCCTCCTCTCCCTCCTCCCCTTCCTCTTTCTCTCCCTCCTCCTCCCCCTCTTTCTCTCCTCTCCCTCCTCCTCTCCCTCCTCCTCTCCCTCCTTCTCTCCCTCCTCCTCTCCTTCTTTCTCTTCTCTCCCTCCTCCCCTTCCTCCCCTCCTCTCTCTCCTCCTCTCCCTCTCTTCTCCCTCCTCCTTCTCTTCCTTCTCGTCTCTCTCCTCATCTCCTCCTCCCCAAAATGTCCTTAGTGAGTTTTCCTTTCACAATAGAATGTACGGAATCAAGGGGCAGGAAAGGACTTGAGCATCCACATTAACTGATGGAACAAAATGGCAGATCTAGAATCCAGGAAGCCACTAGGTTCTTCTGGAAGGCGGAGAACTTCCAGAGTGTAATTTCCTCCAGCAATGGGAGGTCTGGGTGAGATGACCTCAGGAGCATGAACAAGGAGTCAAGGTGGGGAGATCTCGTCATCACAGGCAGGCAGGTGATGCTGTTCTTTCCCTAGAGGCCCCGAATCCATCCTGCTTTCTCCAGTGCCTCTCTTTTCCCTGGGAAGTCCAGTGTGCCTGTGACCTTGGAAGGAGCTGCCCAAGACTGTCCTTGCAGCTGGCATTCACAGCCCTGAGCCACCAGAGCGTGGAGAAGATGCAGGTGTACCTGATACTTCTGCTCATCAGTTACTTGCTGACTCCCATTGGTGCTTCCATCTTGGGGCGCTGCGTAGTGGCTAAGAGGCTCCGTGACGGAGGCTTGGATTATTTTGAGGGCTACAGCCTTGAAAACTGTGAGTAGGACCCCTGCAGCCCGTCTCTCCTCACCTCCTCGATCTGCGCTCCCCACCCTGCACCCCTACCCTGTACCCAGCATCTCACAACGTTTGCTGTTTCACCTCTTAGGGGTGTGCCTGGCTTATTTTGAGAGCAAGTTCAACCCCTCGGCTGTCTATGAGAACACAAAAGGTGGCTACACTGGCTTTGGCCTCTTTCAGATCCGAAACAGTGACTGGTGTGACCATGGCAAGAACCTCTGCAGTGTGTCCTGCACAGGTGGGTCCCTTCCTTTCCATCCCTCGGGGAGCTGGAGGCTGCAGAGCCTACGGGTTTGGAGGAGGGGCTAGAGGAGGGAACTGGCCTGTGCTGTGTCTAAAGCTTGTCCCTAGGAGGTAGGGACCTTGACAGAGGATGCTGAAAGGGTCTGCTAATCTGAGAAGAAAGTATGGCGGAAACCAAGGCCAGACAGGCTCAGAAAGTGCTGGGAAGGCTGGGATGTTGGAAGCAGGAGCAAGCCATAGGACCCATGCAGCTTGAGAGTGGGGAAAGATTGCTCTTTCCGGTCACCTATGCTACAGCATTAGCTCCATAGGCGACCCATACTGTCACCATGACAGTCCGAAGTAGTTGTAGGGAGGAGACAGGTACTGGCCAGCCCAAAGGGAGCGTATCTGCCACTCTTAAAGGGACCTAAGAACCTGTGGCCTTGAGGAGCAGCTGGCTAGGATCCACTCCTGTGCTGTGTGAGCTTCTAGGGACTTTGTTAGGTCCTTCCCTGAGCCTGTGCAGGTATCAGTTCACTCAATGCTCACAGCAGCCTCTCAGGAGCAGGTATTGCTTCTCTTCCCATTCTATAAACGGGCAAACGGGGGCCCAGAAGTGTGAGTCCACACCCAAGGCCACATGGCTGGTGAGTGGAGCTGGGGCAGACACAATTGAAGGGGCTCCTAAGTCAGGGTTACACCAAGAGGCCAGGTGTAGGCTCCCTAATATCAGGTGTTTCTGCAGCCGAGGGTCTAAGTGTTAGCCCCAGCATCTCCAGGCTTCATTAAAGAGAGAGTATTTTCCCCACCCTGGTTGATAAAAGTGGTCCAGGGTCTTCAGCTTCTGGGGGGGCCTACACCCACCGGCCCACACATCAGTCTCCACCCAGGCTACACCAGAAGGTTCAGAAGCCTCTGTCACCTCTCCACGCTGCTCTCCAAAGTCCCAGATTGGAAACCACAGGCCTTGGGTCCCCTGCCTGAGACCCATCTTCAATGACCGGCTGCGTGGGGCAGCAATGGGAAGCCAGGTTGTGTGGTAGAAAGGCACGCTAGCCGTCACCAAATGGCACAGCATCATTCTGCTTCCTTCTCTTTGCAGCGTTACTGAATCCAAACTTGAAGGATACGATCGAATGTGCCAAGAAAATCGTGAAAGGAAAAGAAGGGATGGGCGCATGGTAAGTGGAATGTCCTCTGCAGCTCGTGCTGGGGGCTCAACAAGGCTGTTTGGGGCCCTTCTCTGGCTGTGACCAGGTTCCCGACAGAAGCAGTCGAGGTCAGGAAGAATTCCAATGCATTTGGCTCGCAGTTTGAGGATTTCAGTCTCTCGTGGCAGGGCAGTCGCGGTGGCAGGAGTGTGGGAGGTGGCCGGTCACGTGGTAGTTATAAAAGGTGAATGCCGGTTCTCAGCTTTATTTTCCTTTTGGTCAACCCAGGACCTTAGTCCACGGGATGGTGCTGCCCACACTCAGGGTCCCTGCTCAGAGGAAGCTCTGTGGAGGCACTATTCTGAAGACATTTAGAGGCATGTGCTCTCAGTGTGCTTTAGTGAGGGTGACAACGATGAGTCAACACCATGGCTCATGTTAATAACTGTGTGTGTGTGTGTGGTGTATGTATAGTATGTATGTGGTGTGTGTGTGTCTGTGGTATATGTGTGGTGTGTATATATGTGCGTGTGTGTAGTGTGTGTGGTATGTGTGGCATGTGTATGGCATGTGTGTGGTATATGGAGGTATGGTGTGTGTGTGTGTGTGTGTGTGTGTGTGCATGCAATGCTAGAAGAGGCCATTGTGCTCCCTGGAGCTGGAGTTAGAGGCAATTGTGAGCTCTTGTGGTTGTAGGGAAATAAACTCTGGTCCAGTGTATGTTTTAACTGCTGAGCCATTTCTCCAGCCCCTTCTTACTTATTTTTAATGCTTCCTTTATAAACCAGGGCTATTAAATGCTCATAATCACATCTGTGTGGGTTGTTTTCTTAGGATTGTCATTTGTATTCTGACTTTGTTGATGGCATCTTCTTCCTAGATGAGACCTAACAGTTTCTTAGAATCGAATCCCTCTGCCTTCTCTCTGTGGCTTCTGGGTCCATGTAAACCCCCTTCTTAGAAATGTCTTGAAGAACCGAGGAGATGGCTCAGCTGGTACAGCACTTGCCTTGAAAGAACAAGAACCCAAGTTTGATCCCCAGAACCCATGTTTTAAAAAATATTAATTATGGTGATGTATACTCATAGTCCCAGTGCTGGGAGGTGAAGATGGGTGGGTCCCTGGAACTCACTGGCCAGCCAGTTCCAGACCAGTGGGAGACCCTGTCTCAAAAAACAAGGTGGATGCTGACTGAGGAACAACACCTGATTTTATCCTCTGATTTCCATGTGCATACATTCACACATATGTGCACACCCACACACATGTACTTCTGCACACTCATGAAAATGCAGGTGCACATGAATTTAAGGGATCTATAGCAGAGGTTTGACGAGAATGCCATACATGTTTTCTCAGTATCAGAACACTGCTGACACCAAGTAAGCCCTTGATACTCTGGCTAAGTATTTTTAAAATAGAATTTTTGTGATTTTATCCTTTTAAGCTTAAATTTTGGATTCTTTTGTACTTAATTTTGGTATGAAAAGCAAGGTAGGTGCTATGGAACTCTAACTTCTAAGCCTGCTTATTGTTGTCAACATCATGAATCCGATTATGACATCTCACTGCTAACGAAGCAGACTGCACCCGATGGTGTAATTTCCTTGTTAATGATAACCGTCTCCCTCATACGTGGTCTGAGTTTTCTGATTAATTAGTGATCTTGGCTGAGTCTGGGATTAACACTAATGAGTTGAAGTCATCTTTGTTGTGTGGCACCGTGGAGCAGTAAGCTGGACCACGCTGGCTGAGATGCTTTATTGTCCAGACTCCTGGTAAGGCAGGCTCCAAGTAAGTTGACAGGAAGCCATGGATCCACCACAGCTCAGACCGAGTCACCCTGCTGTGCGGTGTGAACAAGAGGAGAGCCAATCCAAAGTCCTGGGGAGCCCCCTCCACACCATCTGCCCCTGATCTGTGAAGAGCCATGGGATTTCTGGGAATGTGGATGTGTGTGTTTTCTGCTACTTCCTAGCTACAAGGGGCCGGGGATCATTGCCTACTATGGGCCCCCGTGCTGAAGAAGAGTGGAACCATGCAAGGCTGAGGACCAGGAGTAGATGTGGTTGGGGACCCGGGTCCAGATGTGGCCTTGCATTAGGGACTGGAATAGGGGAAGGACTGCTGGGGAATATCAGGGGAAATATCAAAGAATCAGTCAGATGCCCAGGAAAAGTGAAGAGGGGAAGAAGTTTTAGAAGCTGTGGAGAAGTAGGTATACAGACAGGTGGAAGGAGCCCAGGGTTAGGACACACCCGGGACCCTGGCCTAGGCAAACTCTCTGAAGCTCTCTCAGAGGAGTGTCTAATACGTCACAAGGCTATGGTGCTCCAACTGGGTGGGGTCCCCGTGTGAGGCAAGGGTAGTGTGGGCACCTGCATCCACACCAGGGTGAGCACCAAAACCCACAAAAGCCTGAGGAACTGTGTCCACACCGGAGAGACGCCAATGTCCCAGGGCTAGGTATGAGCTGTGTAGCTCTGGGGACCCCAAGCCCTGGCTCTAAGGAGCCACCGCTGACCATTCTCTGGTCTTCCACCTGCAGGCCCATCTGGTCCAGGAACTGCCAGTTGTCTGACACCCTGGAGAGGTGGCTGGACGGCTGTGATCTGTAGCCACCTGGGTGGACTTGCCCCACTTGCCGGCCATGTCTCGTGACCACGGATGTTTTCCTGTTTGCTGCTTCGATCCATCCAGTTATCTCACCGCTCGACAGCTCCGGATGGAAAAGGACAAACGTCCACTTCATCCAGGGGGGCGAGGTGCAGAATAAACCAGCTCAACCTGGCCTGAGGTCTCTGCAGGTGTTGCTCCATTGTGAGCACTACGGCCACCGTCATTACTTACCGCTTACATGACTTCCCATTTCTGATTCTTAGAGTGCAAAGGCAGGGGTGTCAATCTTCAGCAGGGAAAGGAGGAAGAGACACGGTCGAAACTGAGAGGAGCTGCAGAAGCAGGGGTGAGGGGCTGGGCAGACAGGGCTTCTTTTCATAACCAGTTTGGCCAGCCTTAGAATCAGCTGGAGACACACCGCTGCATGGGCCTTCAAGGGGTTTCCAGATCGGATTAACCGAGGAAGGGAGACCCACACTGAGTGTGTTGGCACCATTCACGGTGAGTCTCAGGCTGAATAAGGGAAAAGCAGGAGGGAACCCCTCTCCAGTCCACTGAGATGTGAAGAACACCCATCTCACGATCCCATCGTATGGTGGACACTATACAATCGGGTCACCATGATGAAAGTAATGGACAGCCTTCCCATTGCAACCCAAGGGGAGTCCTTGCCGGAACCTACGTGGCAGGCCAGCAGAGCACAAGACACACATGCCCTTCCACCCATATTTCTTTGGAAAGAACCAATGGCAGCCATTCTTCTCTCAATGTTAAATTTCTAGCGGTTAGAAATAACACGTATGCTAATACGAGCGACAGGCCCGCAGGTATTCACAGCTCTGGCAATGCCAAGTCCGCCGTGGTTTCAGCGCTACCACTGTCTTCTCTAACTACGTCTCTGTCGTAGTCAGGGTTGTATGTCTGAGAAGAGGCACGGCCATGACAACTCTGATAGAGCAAAACATTTCATTGGTGCTGGCTTATAGTTCTGGAGGCTTAGCCCATCGTCGCGGTGGTAGGAAGGAGGGTGATATGCAGGTAGACCCGGCAGCTGAGAGTTCTACATCCAGATCTGCCAGCAGCAGGAAGAGAGACACTAGGGCCAGCTTGAACTTTTGCAATCGCAAAGCACACCCCCAGTGACACGATTCCTCCAAAAAGGCCACACCTAATCCCTCTTGAGTAGTAGTGCCACTCCCTGGTGACCAAACATTCAAATCTGTGAGCCTGTGGAGGTCATTCCTCTTCAAATATCACCACAACCTCCTCCCCATGGGTTTTTGTTGTGTTTTATGTGTGTGTGTGTGTGTGTGTGTGTGTGTTAGAGTTTTCTGTTTTCAACAATGCTATAGATAGGGTTCTGTGATCCACTTTTATAGAAAGAAAGCAAACCAGATGGGTGTGCTGTCATCTAATAATCCTGGTATCTGAAGGCCCGTAGAGAAAGATTGCTGTGACTTGGAGGCCATCTTGGGCTTTGTAGAGAGATCTGGTCTCAAGAAACAAACTGACTGGGCTGTAGCTTGGTTTGTAAAGTGTTGTTGGCTCGGCCTGCACAGAGCCTTGGGTGGAATCCCTACCCTGTGTAAAACCAGACGTGATGGCTCCTAATGGGAATTCCAGCATGGGGGAGGTAGAGGCACAAGGATCAGAGGCCAAGGTCAGCCTTTGCTACATAATGGAGTTTAAGGCCAGCCTGGGCTATGTGAGACCCTGACTCAAACAGGCAAATGAAAAAAAAAAAACCAGTAAAATAAGATTCCCCATGTTTATAACAATTTCATGCAGAAAAGGGTTTGTTTCCGAAGCATGGTGGCTTATTGAGTTCTTCCAGGAGGCAGTGCGTGTGAGACCTGGGGTTCTGGGATCCTGGGCTAATCTGGTGGAGATTTGGGTTTGGAGCCTCAGAGATATCTGCGTAACTAAAGCCAGGTTACTGTGGTATCCAAGCCATCAGGAGCTTGGGGAGAGGCAGTGGGGTTGAGGGGCGGCATCTGCTTCAGCGTGAAAGCCTCAGACTGGTGAATGCTGCCTGTGTGAACGTGCATGGTTCATCTATCCTGCCCCCTACTGTCTGAGTTCTCGGTTTTGTCCCCTTTAAAACAGTACAGGTTCGACTGTGACTGTTCTGGGCACCCCCTTTTTCAAGCTTAAAAATGACACAAAAGGTACACGTTAGATGAAGAAACCTGGGAATATAGATTAAAACGTTACTAAAATACCTCCCCCTCCCCACAGTAAACGGGTTTTTATTTCATTGCTGTGCTTGGTCTGTAGCCCATTCTGAGAGAGCTTGGAGGCCATTAAACTTTTTGTATCTCTTTCCTGACTTTGGGGGTACATACACACATGCCCCCATGTTTTTTCCACTTGTAAGCATTGGCCACTATTAAATATTGCGTATGATATCTTGCTTTTCCGGTTAAGAATTTGTAGTGTGACATTTCCAGTCTACATCAGAATTTCAGCCCTGTTTTTAATGGTCTCCTCATGTTCCATTTGATGGGCAATGTGCATAATCCTTTATTGCTAACCATTTAACCTACATATTAATTAAGCAGGCTGAGCAGACCATGGCCACCTCAAAGGCAGGTAGCATACAGCAGCCCGGCTTTTGTAGACAACCAACTGCTTATTTTCCCGAGAGAAGCAGCAGCAAGTCAGAACTCTGGGGCAAGCTTCCAGGCGGGCTCAACGAGGATGGGCCAACCTGGTCCTATGCTTTCACATGGCTCCCCTTGTCTCTGGAGAGAAGACCGTTGCATTTCCCTTAGACAGCACGATCTGTGCGGACAACTGATGTCAGTGATACTGGTTCCTGGGTTCCACAGAAGCCTTTGAGACCTCGTGGGAAACTTTAGTGTTTGGCTTTGGACCCGACACTGTTTCCAAGGGTGGGCTCAAGAGCGATAGGGTACCTGATCCCAACCCAACGGTGCTGCGGATGTCGGTGACCTTCGTGACAGCCTGAGATTGGCCATAAAACTATCATCTCAAGAGGAAATCCACCTGCCACCTCCTTCCAGCCCATTACTTCCAAGGCTGCCCACTGTTCCCTAATGGCCTCTGTGTCAACAAGGGTGTGAGGCTCAAGGACAAAGCAAATGTTAGGGTATTGATGGGAATGGCGTTTCCCAACATCAGCTCCTGGCTTGGTGCCCTCAAGTTCTCCGATTCCCTGCCCCGGCTTACCACCATCAAAGCTGAATGTCACTGTCACAGAGTTCTATCATTATGACTGCTAGTACCAACCATTACGAGAGCAATCCCAATTCACACACTGCGTGGAACTCTTCCTTCACCCACATCTCCAAACTTCTCAAAACCTTAGATGCTGGATATGAATTATAACCATCTTACAGGTGGCAAAACATCCTTGGAGACACGGGCTAACTTGGCTTTAGTCCAGTAAGGAGGGATATGGGTTGGGCATCTCTTTAGAACTCATGCCCCAATACCCCTCTCCCCAAACCCTGCAACTGTTATTTCTCTCTCTCCCCCACCTCTGTATGTTTAGGTGTGTGCCTATGAGTGTTTATGTGAGTGCACAGGTGTGCATGTGAATGTTCACGAGGGTGCACGTGTGTACCTGTTCATGGGATGTGCATGTGTTCATGGAGAGGTTAGAGACAACCTTGGGTACTGTTCTTGGGGCATGGTCATCCCTTTCTTTTAGAGGGTTTCTCAGTAGCTTAGAACTTGTCGAGTAGGCTAGGCTGGGTAGCCACTTTGCCCCCAGTTCCCAGTCAGAGCAGATGGTATCGCGGCACTGTTTTGAAGGAAGATGTGAGATTTTCCTTCAAGTTTCACGTGTAGTCAACAGAGCAGATTGTCACGTTTTATGAGACACCCCATTTAATTGTCTGCACCCTGAAAATAAGAGTTCACACAGCTTGGAAGTGCTCATAGCTCCAGTTTGTGCTGGTTCGTACGGAGCTGCCCCTCTCCAGCCCTGTCAGGAGCCATCGAGGGACTGGTGTGGTCCCAGTGGTGGCGCTGGGGCAGCCTCCGCTCACAGTGATGACTGGATGTCAGCCCTGGAGATCAGCTGAGTCCTGTGTGCTGCACAGAAGCCAAGCTCTGACCGGAGGCAGCACATTTCTTTTCATTTCTCTTCGCTGCTTATAGAGTAGTCTGAACGGAGATGCACAAATTTCTTTGTATGAGATCCATACTGGGTGGTTTATGAAATTTATGTCATGAAATCCATCACCAGGTCTGTGTGAAGCAGTTATTTGGAGCCCAGCATTTCCCAACCTGGGGCAGAGTATTTAATCCAAGTCTCACTTACTCAATCTGCAAAATGAGAATCATAGTCACAACCTCCCATTTGGGTGAAGCGCTGTGCTGTGGCCCCCACATAAACTCCAGAGACTTCCGTCTTGTCAGTTTGACTGGATTTAGAACCACCTAGAAGACACAGCTCTGGAAATGTCTGTGAGGATGTTTCTAGGGAGGTTAACTGCCCTGCGTGAAGGCTGCACCATGCCATGAGCCACAGTCCAGAACTGGACAGACAGGACGGGGAAGCAGTGAGCACAAAATTCCTTCCTCCCTGCTTCCTGGTTCCTCAAGAAGTGAGGTGAGGGGTCAGCGAGAGCCATGCCTACTGCCATGCCCACCTCACCACCATGGACTGCACCGTCAAACCATGAGCCCAAACAAACCTTCCCACCGTGAGTTGTTTTCGTCAGGTGTGTGGTCACAGCGACGGGGAAGTAATTAGCACAGTGAGGGAGCTGGAGTTATAGGCAGTTGAAAGGGGCCCAGTGTGAGGCAAGGGGTCCCGTGTGGGTGCTGAGAACGGAGCTCAGACCGTCCCTCCACACGAGCAGTGTGTGCTCTTAACCGCAGCCGTCTCTCCAGCCTCTACTCTTGTTAACCCAACCAAGCAGACGGCTGCAGCTGGAAACAAGCTTCTTCTGCAGCTGCAGGAGAGTCGGGTGGGGGCTGCTCTTTTCCTGGGAGGAGGGGGAAGGAAGAGGTTCTAATTTCCACAGCTAACCCCGTTCTGTTCTTTAGAGTATGAGCTTCTATAACTCAGTGGGGGAAAATGAATTATTAAAGAAAACGAACTGTACTAATTTAAATGTCCCTCAATACAAGTCCTTAACAAATTAACTTAATTAAACTGGTTTCTCTCTCTCGGTTCGCACAGTTTTGTTTTGTTTTTCTTTTTTCGGGT